TCTTACGTAATATCGCCCCTTTCGTCTCTCCCGGATCTTACCTCGGAACCGTATTTGCTCAAGGTGGTTTTCAATACAAAGTCAAACAAGCTTTCAACGAGGTTAAAAAGAATGTTAACAACGTGATCGTGTTTGGATGTCAGTACATCCCTTGGGCTTGCCGAACAAAGGCTTACGGAAAATGTGCCGTTCTATTAGGTCACAAGCAGTACCTTTTCGTGGCCAAGTTACTAACACAATGTCCGAACACTTCCAAGTTTTACGTCGAAATGAAAAAGCTGTTTGCCATCCCCGTACGACCACTATCTAATTTCCTCTCGATCACCTGACACCCTCAAATCAAATCATTCATCCGGCCAGAATGTTCGGATTGTTTGGTAAAGATTTCAATGATGATAAGGAGAACGACGTGTTATATCAACGTGAACCTTACTTTTATGGGGAACTGGATGATAGGTCGGCAGATCTCATGCAACGTCAGTCGGACGAATTACAGGCGTTGAAGAATGAATCGCTGGCTCGTAGTCCTGATTTGGATTTAAGCAGCGTCATGGATTTAAAAGAGAGGATCGTGGAGATGTATGCAACGGAAGTTGATGACACGTCAACCCTTCGAAGCACCATCTCTACCAACGTAGGATGGACTCAACTGAAATGTCCGATGGTTCCAATCTACTCATAAGTTAAACCGGATTCATCATCACCGTCATGTCCGATCGAATCAAGAGAAAAGTCAAAGGGTGTGATCTTGAAAGGTTACAAACCTGATTTCTCGACGAGATACATGTGGGATGACATACCTTACGGTTTGGTCGTGCTCCGATCCGTTGCTAGTTTACTTGACGTGGAAGTACCATGCATCGATGAAGTCTTGTACTGGGGACAAAGCGTTATGGGTAAAGAATATTTGGTCGATGGTGAGTTGATCGGAAAAGATATTCATGAGACCGGTGCCGTCTCTAACTTTGGCATTTTATCACCCGAAGAATTGTTTGAGTGAATAATATTTTTTTTCGTAACCAGCATTTTTTTCATGTGGTATATATAGATGTGAATTTTCCGCGGAAAAAAAAATTCATTTATATAGAGATATTATATAGATACAGTATATATATATTAATACAGGTTTTCCGTAAAAAAAAAAAAAAAAAAAAAAAAAAAAAAAAAAAATCATATGGTTACAAAAAAAGTAAAATATATTTTTATATTATAATGTTACCAAACAAACAAATAAATAAATAAGCGTCACGTCATTATACATGTGCAACGTGTTTATCATCAAAAGTTTTTTTTGCCAGTAATTCCATTCGTCACAATGTGATATCAAATAAATAAATTCATGTATTATCACCGGAAATGTCATTCTTTTTCATTCCAAGTATAAAAAGAATGCCCAATTAAGATAAATAAAATACCCCAATCCTGAAATTTTCAATGAACTGTAAAAAAAGCTATTTTTTTTTTTTATCATTTTGACTACCTAATGATTAACAGAATGCAATACTTTAAACATATTCTGCAATGTCATTACAATTATTCCATTATAGAAAGTTGCATTATTCAAGATAAAATTTAACAAATGAGCCGAAATTTTTTCACTATCTTAGATAGGATAAACAATTAATTTTATGTAATCATCAAGTTTTATTATTTGCAAATCACTATATGATCCGTAACGTGATTTTAATATTAATTTTAATTTTTAAAATCAAACTTTTGAGCGTATCTATCATGGTGGTGATCAAACCACCGATAACCACTTACAACCACACTATTACTTGAAGTTCAATTTATGTTTAATAATTGGAGAGGGTGAATGGTAAGAGAGAATAGTTTTTGCACGTATTGTTCTTTATAAAGAAATAAGATATTGTTTTGACAAATAAAAGACTTGTTAGACATTGTCTCATAATTTCATTTCCCTTAATGATGATAACCTCCCTATAGGTTACGAGGTGGATTTTCCAAATCGGAGGGCGCTCGTTATTAGATGAAATACAATAAGAATTTTAGCCAAAAAATTCTCGGAATCTGATTTTCCTATAATTAAATTATTTCCAACTTTATCATGCCCAATATGTGGTCGTTTATAAAACTCCAATTTATTGACTGCTTCAAAATCTTTATTTTAAAAATTCATAATTTTTATATAGTGCTATATCTTGCACCATAAAATTTGTGTTAATGGATGACTTTCTATTTATAGTTTTATTTGATACTTCCATATTAAGCCGGATCAATTGTAATATTTGATGATATTTTTCCAATCACAAATTATGAAAATAAAAATAATATTTTTACGACTCTTTTTATAAATGATGGATTTCCACTTGATATTCCCCATAGAATCGCTGCTACTTTTTTTAGATGAACCTTATAAAAAAGCTGATATAGCTGGTTACATGAAACTAAGATTATTTAACCTTAGGAGTGAATAACATTATCATAAAAATCGATTGCAAGTTGAAGTTTGAGCTAATTCATAACGATAAATTCAAATTAGAAATTAGAAATTCATACGCTCACCTTATGAATTTTTATAATTGTGAACAGAAAGAAATATTCCCTTACTCGTAGAACTTGAATATTTGTTAATCTGGGGTAAATATACAATTTCCCTCCAGTGCCAATTGATGAATGAATCTATGGATTTCCCTAAATTTTACCAGGTTATAGCACCTCTATTATTGAGATTAAAAAAAATGATCGTTCAAGATTTTATAAATAATAAGAACTTTTAATTGATGAAATACATATTTATTATTAATCCAAAATTTCTTTATTTATGATCTAGTGACGTAAATAGCCAATAGGATTTTTTTTACCTATTTCATGTACAATCGATTGGAAATGATCTAGAAAAATTAAAAGAAAGTAATTCAAAAAGAATACTTTTTCCTTTTATGGGTTTCGTATGAGATTTTTTATCCAACGAAAGTAGCAGAGGTTTAAAAAATTTACATGATAATGTTAATGTTTAAATTTACAAATTTTTTAAACATACACGCAAAAAATATATTTTTATATATGAACAAACAATTCAAATGAAATTTATTTGATTAACGGAGCGGATAACATCGTGAAATTTTATCCATCATCTGGGAGGAATGTCAAGACCTCGGATCTCAAAGATCATCTGGGGAAATTGCGAAAAATGTATTTTTACTCGGAGAGACTTTTGATAATTAGAATCACTTACAACTTTAATCAAGTAATACAATTAAATAATTAATTCTGTTGGAGATAATTTAGCTAATGATTTGTGGATGAAATAATAATATTATTTGAAAAAATCAAAAAACATGAATTAAAAAATTTTAAACTTATTTTTAAATTCAGTATCTAAAATTTCAAGGTGACAGTAATATTATAGATTTTGATGAACTTATATGGTAAAATTTAATCATTCGTTAACTTTAATAATCCATCATCCTTATTCTAATAATGATCTACCTAACTCGAATCCTAATCGCATGGGTTTATAACGCATACATTACGGTTTATGAAAAAATATTCTCTTAAAATATATTAGAAGTAATTAATAATTATTTTAACGTAATCTCATTTGGCTTTGTAAGATACAAATCAGTTAATATACTGAATTCCTGTTGTGCCTCGGAAATATAATACTCCTTTCCTTTAATAAACCAAAATCATGTTCTGCCTCAGTTCTTTCTTCGTCGAAGTATAAAGAATCCTCATCAGTATAAGAAATCCTTTCTTCTAATAGACCAAAATCCTGTTCTGCCTCAGATCTATTTACTTTTTGCAGTCTTTCTACGTCACGTTCAATCATGTTATTTCGTTTACTTCGTTTATTCTGACCAATTATTTTAGGTGTTAAATATGATGATGCAATTTCTTCATTTATAGTTGAACGATTTATATCAAGTATTTCTTCCACTTCAGCTTTAAATCGGAATCCTGCATTATCCTAATTAAAAATTATTAAATTTAATTAAATACAAAAATAGAAATAATCAAAAATTTATCAAATATATGTTTACCTTGTAATCACGCTTCATATTTTTCCATTTGATTTGGCATTGTTTAGCAGAACGTTTATAATTATGACATGAAAGCATAGCTGATGCGTCAGGCCAAAGCTTTTTTTTAAATTTTTCATTGACCCCCCGTATTTTTAATTGATTTACATCTTTCTTTCGTTCGATCAAAAATAAAAGCAAAAGTTTGCAAGCATAACTATCCCACTTAACTGGTGCAAAATCTCGAGATGATTCCTTTACTTTGCGTTTGTTTTCTTTCATTTCTATTACATGAAAGAATAGAAATATATATTTCAAATGAAAATAATCATATGGTTATCTAAATATTAAATTAAAAGTTAATATCATTATCATATTCTTAAAATACCTTTAAATGAAATGATTGATATCAATCGTCTAGATATATAAATTGCATTTGGATGAGACTTTTCAGTAAATTCGGGGCCAAGTTTATTTAACAGTATTAACTCATTTCTTGTTTCTTCAGATTGATTAAAATGTTTTGAATATTTCTTCTTAATTTTCCAAAGCGAATAAGTTTCATAAATTTCTGTTATCGAAGGCCTTTTTACAGGATCAGAATCCAAACTTCCTTTCATTAAATTAACAAAACATTCAGGAGTATCTTCTGTAATTTCAGGTCGCTTTCCATCAATAATTTTATAAATAAGTTCAAAATCGTGTTCAATATTAGCAAAAGGTCTACAGCCTGTTGTAAGTTCCCACATAATCATACCCATACTATAAATATCAGCTGCTTTTGAAAATGAAGCACCATTTAATATTTCCGGAGCAATATAAGGTATCACTCCATATATTTCGATGTTTTCGGATGAGATATTATTTGCAACTGGCGTTATTCCAAAATCTGCAATTAACCATGTCGCATCTTGACGTTTTTTAAATAATATGTTTCCACTATGAAGATCTCGATGTGTAAAATTTGCATTATGAATAGCTTTAAGGCTATGGATGAATAAATTTAAAAATTAGTATTTTGTTGATATAATCTAATTAAAAGTATTAAAAGTATAAGTACCCTTTCGCAACCTGTAATAAAATTTCCAACTTTTCTTTCCATGTTATATTCTTAAAATTTTTTTGTAAATAATTATGCAAATTCCCCCCATTTGCATATTCCATTACTAACATATACTCATTTGTTTCTGGATCTTTTGTAACACCATAATATCGAAGAATATTATCGGATTTAGTGTAATATTGACGATATGATTTTAACTACAATTAATTTTATAATTTTAATAACTTTTAAATTCAAACTCAAACAAATGATAAAACTTCCAATGACATTACCTCATTTAAAAAACGTTTACTAATATCTTGAGTAAACAATTTTACAGCAATTGTTTCATATTTTTTCCTATTACCGTAAGCACATACTGTTCCATATACTCCACCATCTAACCAAGTTGCTTGATAAATCGTACCAAATCCTCCATTCGCTACTTTTTCTAAATCTTTAATTCGAGAAAACGGTATCCATTCCATTACTGTTTCGGGATTAAAATTCCCATATGTCTTCTCTTTAAGAAAATCATAAACATTTAGCGGATTATTGTCATATTTATCTATATTTGCCATATTGCCAATATCATTTATATTTCTTGTACTATAAAGAAAATAATCTATAGTATTACTACCTAAATTGATCTTATTCATAGTAACCGGCATTATTCTTTTACATTTTCCACATTGAGACCGGTCCGTATATCCAAATATAATATTAGTAGTCAGACAATGTCTACATCCAACATAAACCATAAAGCAATGGGGACACCATTTTTGATTTGAACTTTCAAATACAAGTTCCACTTTACATATTGCGCACGAACCAAATGCGTCCCACCATGGTAAATAAATAACTGGAATATCCTTTTTGGTCAACGTTGATTCAATACGTCCGTAAGAGACTTGATAGCAATCCGAACATATTTTAAGTTTCTCATGTAATAAAGTTTCCTGATAAATTAAT